GAGTGTGTGTGCGTGTGTGTGAGTGTGTGTGTGTGTGTGTGTGTGATGTCACACCATACACACCAAAACATACAAAAATACTGTGTCTGCAACACTGCTGAACATCTACACTCTGTTTACTAAAAATTCAAGTTAGTTTTTATAGTTGCAATAAAACAGAAGTGTTTCATTCTTCTGTTTTGTGAAGTACATGCAAGTGTACCAGATTATTGAAAGTGCCCCTATTATGCCATTTTTAAGGTTCCTAATATTGTTTTGGAGTCTCCTACGACAGGTTTACATGCATGCAAGGTTAAAAAAGCACTTTAGTTTTCTCAAAATATGCATTTAATATCATCTCATTTTCTAGTGATTCTCAAACGATTCGTTCGAAGCAGTTCAAAGATTCAGTCTCTCTAAACCCCGCCTCTCCGTGAGCCTACTCTGCTCTGATTGGTCAGATAGCCCGGTCTGTTGTGATTGGTCTACCCCGTTCAGCGTGCGTCGGAAACGATTCGCTCACTGCCATAGTTCTGTATTCTGAACGCTCGATAGAAAATATAAACATCTGTTATTTATCATACTTACAGGTTGTGATTCAGTGGAGCAGCTGGTCCAAATAAACTGGGTACTGATTATAATAGGGCACTTTAAATGTAGGGCGGGATTTGGTTCTGTGCATCAGTTGTTGGTTGGATGTTGAGATGTGGGTGTGGCAGGGGCGGAGTTTTAAAATGAAATATTTGCATGGATGAATTGTGCACAACACGATCATGCTGACTTCAGTGGCTGATGGGGATACAATATTAGGAGACCATTTGTTGATTTTAGAACACAAGAGTTAACTAGTACTGTGTGTGTGTGTGTGTGTGTGTGTGAGTGTGTGTGTGTGTGTGTGTGTGTGTGTGTGTGTGTGTGAGTGTGTGTGTGTGAGTGAAACATACAAAAACATACAAAAATACTGTGTCTGCAACACTGCTGAACATCTACACTCTGTTTACTAGAAATTCAAGTTAGTTTTTATAGTTGCAATAAAACAGAAGTGTTTCATTCTTCTGTTTTGTGAAGTACATGCAAGTGTACCAGATTATTGAAAGTGCCCCTATTATGCCATTTTTAAGGTTCCTAATATTGTTTTGGAGTCTCCTACGACAGGTTTACATGCATGCAAGGTTAAAAAAGCACTTTAGTTTTCTCAAAATATGCATTTAATATCATCTCATTTTCTAGTGATTCTCAAACGATTCGTTCGAAGCAGTTCAAAGATTCAGTCTCTCTAAACCCCGCCTCTCCGTGAGCCTACTCTGCTCTGATTGGTCAGATAGCCCGGTCTGTTGTGATTGGTCTACCCCGTTCAGCGTGCGTCGGAAACGATTCGCTCACTGCCATAGTTCTGTATTCTGAACGCTCGATAGAAAATATAAACATCTGTTATTTATCATACTTACAGGTTGTGATTCAGTGGAGCAGCTGGTCCAAATAAACTGGGTACTGATTATAATAGGGCACTTTAAATGTAGGGCGGGATTTGGTTCTGTGCATCAGTTGTTGGTTGGATGTTGAGATGTGGGTGTGGCAGGGGCGGAGTTTTAAAATGAAATATTTGCATGGATGAATTGTGCACAACACGATCATGCTGACTTCAGTGGCTGATGGGGATACAATATTAGGAGACCATTTGTTGATTTTAGAACACAAGAGTTAACTAGTACTAGTAATCAGTCTAATGTGGGTTCTCTCTAGAGCATGAGTGATATAGTGGTCTATTATTATTTCAAACTAAAGAAATCAGTCCTGTGTGGGATGTGTGTGTAAACGCCGCGCTGCTGAACACTCCTTGTTTTCTCCAGTGGAAACGTCGCTTCGTATGTGCCGCGTCTCCCTCTCGGATGCTTGTGATACCAGAGACGGATCAGGTACTCACACAGATCTGATGTCAGGCCCTAAAAATACCCATAAACCCCCAAACATCCCGAATGGCCACCAGCACACCCTCAGATTAACATTCGATGAACGTGTGATGACATCAGCCTGGGTTCATTTACTGGAGCGAGGCGTCTGCTAAATTAAGAGTGTGGAATAACCTACCACTCAGATTCCTCTGATCCGAGCCCTTAAGACTCATTTCTGCACCCGGGCTTCTAACTATGGTTTTATTTTGTTTTGTTGTTTCATTCTATGCCTAATATTTGCTGCTGTAATTGTTCTCTGGGATGTACAGGCTGATTTAGAAATGTGCTTTAGAAAACAGTCTTTAACTGAAGGTACAGACAGATAGACAGACAGACAGACAGACAGACAGACAGACGGATGGACAAACAGACAGACAGATAGACAGACAGACAGACAGACAGACGGACAAACAGACAGACAGATAGACAGACAGACAGACAGACGGACGGACAGACAGACAGACGGATGGACAAACAGACAGACAGACAGACAGACAGAGAGACAGACAGACAGAGAGACAGATAGACAGACGGACAGAGAGACAGACGGACGGACAGATAGACAGACA